CTTGCTTGAGGCTTGCTGATCCATTAGGAAAGATCAACCACTTCTGAAGGCACCTGTCTTCTCTCCTCCACCAACTCAACCAGTTTGGAGTAAAATTGAATATAAGGCAGGCAAATATGCTTGTGTGTACTTGCCCATGTCAAAACTTCACCTTCAATCACCGTTGTGAGTGAAATATTCACATTTCAATTCTATCAACGATTCTCACCAAATTACAAAACACTTGAGGATGCACACTTGTCAAACACTTTGACTCCAAAAGCATGCAACACAATCGTAGTCACTCTCATTCCTATCCCACGTGCATTTTCTAATTGCCTACTGACTACTGCACATGTCAACATGCGATTGGATGAAGTCAGTGTCAATGGCATTGCTCCTGCCGATGCCGATGCCGATGGCAATGCTAATGCGAATGCCAATGTCAAGGCGAAGCAATGCGCATCGCATGGAGAAGTGCAATCAGGATGGAGTGGGAGAATGCAAATGCGGACGAGGATGTGGCTGCATCGCAATTCGACCTTTCTCCCCTCCCTCTCTCCTCCCTTCCTTCCCTCCTTCCCTCCTTCCCTCCTCCCCTCCTTCCCTCCTCCCCTCCTTCCCTCCTTCTCTCCTTCCCTCCTTCCTTCCTTCCTTCCATCGACCTCTCACTTCATCTCCCTCTCTCCATCTCTTTCGATTTATAGCATTAGTCGTCGAACAGTTCACTTCTGTGCTATGCAACAGGACTTACTGACTGTGGGGTGTGAGGTGCTGCTGCAAAATAATGCAAAAGAAATGCAAAAAATGAGGATGGGAAGCGGGACAAGGATGTGAACGTGGTTGGAATGCTCTCCTGCATTTTGACGACTCTTCAATCCATTTCCTTCATTGCCATTATCATTATCGGTAACACCTCGTCACCAGAATCATGCAACCTATCTTTCACCACTTTCGCTCTTATCCCACCTTCATCCCCCAACTGCTCACTGCCTACTGTGGCTACGATATGTGATTGTTTGCAGCTAGAAAACGGTGAAAGTCATCACTTGGCAAAATACCACGGAGGATGACCAATGTGGCATGAAGTCCTGTGCTTTCTGCGCAGAATTGGAATGGCAGGTTCCCTCCACTAATTTGCTCATCCACGCTCCCTTTCAAAAATATGCTTTTCTTGCACACATCCAATTTTCGCTGACTTGCATCGAGTGTGTAGATGGTAACAACAATACCTTGACCTCCACAAAGTGAACTATTCAATGCAAAACTTGTGTTGACAGTACGTCAAACACACACAGGAAGTGGGGAAAGGAGACTACTGTGGGATGAAGTTGTGTGTGTCTGTGATGTGCTCGATGTAGAAATTGGAGGTAGTGATGATGTGTTCGTTCCCTCAACGTTGCACCGCAATGCCACTTCTCATCACATCACGATGGGCCGGTCAGCCGCACACCTGGCCAACTAGTGTCCTGACATGGGCGCAATTCTACCATCCACATGAAAGAGGTGGAGAGTAGCAAAATGACACACCTTGAGGTATTTGCCTTTCTTCTGTTCCAGCATAACACTTGCCGTCCACATGCTTCGCCTCCCAACTTCCTCCAATACCTTGTCCCAGTTGATGTAGACGTTAATCAGTCGTCTCATCACTGCTAGCAGTAAACACAGCTGCAACGAGTATCCGAGTATTTGGAGCAATAGTAGCACGTAGTCCTTCACAGAGAAGAGTGGAGAGTCTGCCTGAAGGTGGTGCGAGGCGACCCTCCATCGACTACATGGTGGATGATTAGTTGTGAGAATGCTTTAAAGAAATGAAACCCTTCCATTCTGATTGCTACAGACAGCTGTGCCACCACATACCTCATACCGTACCTTCTTTATATGTCATAGAAGAAGGGGTAGGAGACGTTGGTGTATCAGTGAAATGGGGTTAAACGTATTGCATGAAGCAGACAACCTCAAATCACATCCATCAGGTCAGTTCAAGTGGAATTTTATGTACAGGACACAGTATAGTAAACCATACTGATAGAATAACGTCTTACCGCAGGAAAAAAGAAACTTATTGGGTCCTCGGTCTCGTACAAAAAACTAGAAATTGCACCCTCAAATCTGATACCGTTGTGTGCGTTGCACATCCAATTACCCGAACCTTCAGTTTTACA